TTCCTTGCAAACTCACCACGTACTGTATCAGCACTTTATGAAGAGTAAAGCATCATTATTTGGTGTACACAAAAGCAACTTTCCTGGTTTTTTTTTTTTTTTGTAACCTGAAAATCCCCAACCACTGTTGCTATTACAAAATTTTTCTTTACCCTAGTATGCACCCCTGGGCCAAGCACAGATGCATTAAATATTTGCCAAGAGAAACAATGAAGTCACTGATAATACAAAGCATGAGAGTATCATGAAATTCATGTCTTTGTTTTCTTCCTCTAGATACTTAATTACTTCTCATTACTGATCATTTTGTGGTTGTTGGCAGAGGGGCAAGGAAACTCCACCATTGTAAACATGTAGAGACACATGCTCCGCAGTAGACCAGAAGTCTGCACACGATGGGTCTGTTCGCAAACCCAGTGTGAGCACCACTGCATTAATCAGTGAGGATGTTGATGCTTCTACCCCCAGCCTCCAAAGAGAATTGGTCTCAGTAAAACTCTAATTTCTTTAAAAGAATAACAAACACAGTATAAAAATGTTTTAGATCATTCCTTTTTTACCACTTATGAATATCATCACTGGCACAGGACCTATGCGCTCCTGTCACATTTCATCTAACCCACTTTAAGAGTGAGGTGAGGAAGGTAGAATGTATACAGAGCTCCATTCAGTCTTCTGTTGCAGCTCAGGGCTGCCTTAAGCTAAAGGGGCACTACTTATGAGCAATGTTTAACAAATTACCCTGCTAAATCAAAGCTTACATTATCTTAGTATTCTGAAAGGCATATCCTCGATTAAGTTGATGAGCGCAGAGAAATTTTCATTGATTACCAGCAGGATACAAGTTGATTCTTATCAGTAGGCTATTGTTCCACACAGGACTATGTGGGCAAGAGGAAAGCATAGGAATTCTTCATGTAAAATGAAGAAACAAAAACCAAACCCTATGTACTTCCAAGAAATGAAAAGAAGTAAAGAACCAAATATATTACACTCCTCTTTTAAACTAGACTTTTATTAGATTTTCACAGAAATCTGAATCTGTGGGTGTGGTGAACTTTTTCAAAAATGGTGGCAGTTAACTCCTTCCATTCCTTTGCAATATGGTCTTGTATCTTCTTCCATGTAGAGGTGGAATCTATTTCCTCAATCTTGAATCTGGGCCAACATTGTGACATTCACAAATGAGATGTTGGGGTTTCGACTCTTAAGTTCTTGGAATATTGTCCTGAGACCACCATGTGGGGAAGCCCAGTCTGACTTCTTGAAAGATGAGAGTCCACATACAGCAGAGATTAGATGACCCAGCTGAGGCTCTCCTAGCCCAACCAACCACAGCCAGATACGTGAGAGCCCATCTTAGACCATTCAGGCTGTAAGAAGGTGAAGCTATGGAGTAACCTATAGAATTCTGAGCCATTGTTGTTTAACCTCCATCCAAGTTTGGGGGTGGTTTGTTAAATACTAACATATACCTGAGACAGTTGGGCACAAAACAAAAGGGGCAAACCCGTCAGCCTCTGCCATGGCCGTTACATATGGAGGACCAGGTCAGATACACCATGGGAGGCACGAATGAAGAATAAATTTGTCTTAAAAATATAAGAAAAAAGATATAACGGCTCTGTCATTCATGTGTGAACATATCTTTAAATAAAGCAGAATGTAATATTTAGGTATATTGAATATATTTATGTACCAACCTTCCATTATTTCTATAGCCCAGAGTAAGGATATTCCTAGGTGTTCAAGAAAACACAATGGGTGGGGAAATAGAAATGGTATTTATGTATAATTTTTCAATTTTTTCTTTTTAGAGTATGTTTTTATAAGGCACCTAATATATTGTGGTAGTCATGAATATTTTTATAAATAAATAAATATATACACAATGAGGTTTTTCCCAAACTTATCTCTTACACATCCCCAACCTCCTATTCCTACACAAAAATATACCCTTCTTTTTTTTTTTTGAGACAGAGTTTTGCTGTTGTTACCCAGACTGGAGTGCAATGGCACGATCTTGGCTCACTGCAACCTCTGCCTTCTGGGTTCAAGCAATTCTCCTGCCTCAGCCTCCCAAGTAGCTGAAACTACAGGCATGCACCACCATACCCAGCTAATTTTTGTATTTTTAGTAGAGACGGGGTTTCACCTTGTTGACCAGGATGGCCTCGATCTCCTGACCTCGTGATCCACCCGCCTCGGCCTCCCAAAGTGCTGGGATTATAGGCATTAGCCACCGCGCCCGGCCTGAAAATATACCTTCTATGCCTTTGCTTTTCTCAGATAAATGAACCCTTCCCTAGCTACCTAGGGAAGAGCCAGTGACAACTACTACCACACATCACTGTTATTCTGTACTGTGTTTGTAAATAGCCTCTTCAGTAAGGCTACAGGCATTTTTCAGACAAGGTGTTTGCACCAGTATTTATATGCATTTGTCTCAGGCAACATAGCATAATGGCATTATGGCATGATTTTTAAGAGTGTGGGTCCCTGAGCTAGGTTTCCTAAACTCAAATCCCAGTGTTGCCACTTATGAGCTGTACAACCTTCAATAAGTTTCCCGTGACTCCATTTGTTCACTATGAAATAGAGATAATATATTCTCTACCTTACAGTGTTGCTATGAGACTTGAAAGAGCTCACACATGGAAAATGCTGAGAAGAATGCTTAGCACACATAGTAAGTGCTCCCTCACTTCACAGATCAGGTCACTGGGCCTAAAGAGGGTCAATGCCTTTTTTTTTTTTTTTTTTGAAACAGAGTCTCACTTTGTCACCCAGGCCGGAGTTCAGGGTGCCATGTTGGCTCACTGTAACCTCCACCTCCTGCGTTCAAGTGATTCCCAGGCCTCAGCCTCCCAAGTAGCACGGATTACAGGCGGGTGCCATCACACATGGCTACTTGTTTGTATTTTCAGTAGAGACAGGGTTTTGCCATGTTGGCCAGGATGGTCTTGAACTCTGACCTCAGGTTATTCGCCTGCCCTTGGCCTCCCAAAGTGCTGGGATTACAGGCATGAGCCACTGCACCCAGCAGTGGGTCAATATCTTAATTAAGTTCTACAGATGATTTCTGACAGAATTCTTATCACCTAACACAAGGGAAAAACATGTGCAAGCATGTTTGAAGTAGCATTTTTTCAAATACTGGGAAAAAAAAGTATTTAAAAGCAGTAAAATTCCGTTCCTGGGTTTTGGCACCAAAAATAAAATTAAATAAATAAATAAAAATGGTACAATGAATCTCAAAAATCTAGGATGAAAAAGCAAGTTTTAGAAAGATATATTCAATATGCTATTTACATAAGGTTTGAAAACATGCAATACTATACATTGTTCAGCAATATGTATGTTTTATTACTATACATTGTTCAGCAATATATATATATTATTTAAAATGTACAATACTATACATTGTTCAGCAATATATATACATGTTTTTAAACATATAAAACATGCAGAGGGATGAGAAATACCAAATTCAAGATTACATGGATCTGGAGTAGGAAGGGAGGAGAATGGATTTCAGAAGAGAAACATACATTATAATACATCTATAATACAGTACTTAAAAGCTGTCTTCTAATATACAGTAAAATTTTAAAATTTTATAAATTTGTGTGGTAGCATATAGCCGTTTGTTGTATTTTCTATACTTTTCTGGACACTTGAGTTTTTCAGATTTTTAAAGAAATATTACAAACGAGAAGTAAGGTACTGGTGATGTGAAAGTTCCATGATTTGTAGGGACAAATTTTTTATTTTTATTTTTTTGAGACGGAGTTTTGCTGTTGTTACCCAGACTGGAGTGCAATGGCAGGATCTCGGCTCACCGCAACCTCCGCCTTCTGGGTTCAAGCAATTCTCCTGCCTCAGCCTCCCAAGTAGCTGGGACTACAGATGCGCATCACCATGCCCAGCTAATTTTTGTATTTTTAGTAGAGATGGGGTTTCACCTCATTGACCAGGATGGTCTCGATCTCTTGATTTCGTGATCCACCTGCCTCAGCTTCCCAAAATGCTGGGATTATAGGTGTGAGCCACCACGCCCGGCCAAGTATAATTAATAATCTGCTTATATGCCACTGGAGTCGATTATAAGTTCAAGTGATATTTTCTCTTCTAGTTAGAAACCTCAACAGTGGCAGAATTTTTCTTCCTATTATAAATTCATTTGGATGATTACATAATCAGATGTGGAGCTTATGTGTCCTTTAAATATTAATTTATTTTTTATTGTTTCCAAATTGGCCAACTACGTTAGGCAGCGGTATCCCTGCTTTAAAGATGAGGGTCCTAAATATAAGCCCTTGGCTTACCCAAGGAAAGATCTAGAATTTTAGAAGAATGTCAGGAATACAGGAATACAGCCAGGGACCAAGCCTTCATTCCTTTAATACTAGACTTGGCCTTCAAAAGAAACTATCCCAGTAATTCTGTAGTAGTAATTCTGCCATTTCTGTCTTAATGCACTTTTAAAGGCTAACAAGTTTTAAAAACAAAACAAAAACCCCACAAAACCCCCCAACATTTTAAAAAGGAAATACTATAGAGTGAACCTGAAGAAAGTTAGAAGAAATAGCAGAGTCACCATTTTACAATACTGTAATTATGTTAAGTACGTCTTAACTTAAGTAAGCAGTTAGGCCATGCTTGGAGGTCTGACCTGGGTTCCTAACGTGGAATGCTTGGCGGTCTGACCTGGGTTCCTAACGTGGAATGCTTGGCGGATGAAGTTCAAACACAGCATGTTTACCCATGGACATAAGTGGCCTTAATCAAAGCAGAACACATTTTTAAAACGTTTACTTTAAAAGCAGAAGTGTAAATAAGACTGTGATTTATGAATGTGCTAACACCCTTCCCTGCCGTAGACATCAAAAAGACTGAGTTTGGGCTGTGGTAAATAGAACAAGAATGTAGACTTGTTAAAGGAGTAATAGGCAACTCCATTTCCATTAAGTGTTACAAATTGTCTTCCCTCCTTCCAGGCTTTAAGGAATGCGTTCCAGAGGCAGTGACACCGAGGGCTCAGCCACAAAGAAACTTCTAAGCCACACTAAAGGCCACAGTTTCCAAGGGCCTAAAAACATGAAGCACAGACAGCAAGACAAAGACCCCCCCAGTGAGTCGGATGTAATACTTCCCTGTCCCAAGGCAGAGAAGCCACACAGTGGTAATGGCCACCAAGCAGAAGACCTCTCAAGAGATGACCTGTTATTTCTCCTCAGCATTCTGGAGGGAGAACTGCAGGTCAGCTGGGTTGGAGTTATCCCTATCATGCTTCAAATAAGGCTGCTTGTGAATTCAGTGCTCCTGCTGCCGCAGATATAGATATCTGTGGTTCATAAATGTGTGTATATAAAAGCAAAGGATAAGTATATATACACAGAATTCTCCTCTGCCAACTCAAAGTGCAAATAATCCCACCTAAAGGGGTTGCCATGATGGCATGTGATTGGCGTACAGGTTGGGAAAGCCTCTGCCGAGGCTGCTTAGGAACTTCAGTGCACATACATGCATCAGTAGCAATAACACCAGATGACTTCAAGATTGGTTTAAACAACCACAGATGCTTTTGTACCCCATGTGAACTGGGTCCTAGACTTGTCCTTGCATTATCAACCTACATGAAAATCTAAAAACAGCAGGTATACATACCTATGGGAGAATTTTATTTCCTACCCTCTGAAAATCCAAATGCTAATCCATTAATGGGTATCATGTTGTCTGTTTCTCAAACACGATAAAAAAATGGGGTCCTCCAACATTGTATAGTAATCACTTTTTAAAACATGAATTGTGTAATTAGACTATAAGAAGGATGAAGAGATATAGTTTTGATACCTTTTACAAAAGTGTGAAAATGAAACATAGTTCATTTATATTTCAAAGAGAAGAAAAAGCACTGCCAGCTATCATGAAAATCACTTGCTGAGGCCGCTGGTAAAGACAGCAGGCTTTCTGAAATACTTTTTGTTCCTACAGGCTCGAGATGAGGTCATAGGCATTTTAAAGGCTGAAAAAATGGACCTGGCTTTGCTGGAAGCTCAGTATGGATTTGTCACTCCAAAAAAGGTGTTAGAGGCTCTCCAGAGAGATGCTTTCCAAGCGAAATCTGCCCCTTGGCAGGAGGACATCTATGAGAAACCGATGAATGAGGTATGTACCACATCAAGGTGTGTACCTGCGAGGCAGCCAAGCACAAGCCCTGCAGATGAGCATGATCTGTAACTCCTCTTTGATTCCTTATAGTTTTACTTTCTAATGCACTTAAAGTCCACACAATTAAATACAACAAGTTCTACAGGAAAGTTAAAAAGAATGAACCATAGACAGGATGTGTCCACTAGGTGTGTTTCTCGACATAAGCTAGGATCTAACAAACACCAGAGAATGCTCCCTCCCTTGCATGTGCATGTGCATGTGCAGGCACGCGCGCACACACACACACACACACGTGTGCCTACACATAGACACACACACATACTCTGGGGACTTGCAGGGTACCCAGGCTGTACTGAAAACAGATAAAGTTCAACCATAGAGGTTAATTTCTTTGAAAAAGTTAAGGTATTATGTCATAGAAATTTTGACCATGAATGGAAATAATCTGAAGAACTGTCCAAGAAATAGAGGTTTAAAAACATATATTTTAGATGAGTACATACCCTCTTTTTCCTTCAAAAGTTTATTAACAGCAAACATCTTTCCTCCATCAGTGTGCCTAGCAATTACAAAGGCAAAGGTGGGCAGTCCCAACAGGGCCACCACCTCAGAAAAGGCAGTACTGCTTGCTCTCTTACTTGCTGACATTTCTGAAACCCTTTGGCATTCTTATTTTATTCTTCTACTTTCCTCTGAGACCTTCAGGGAAAATTTCATAATTTTTCATTTTTATAGCAAAGAAACAGCTAGGAACATGAGTTGAGGATGGAGAGTGAAAGCAAGTTTTAGACAAATTTCCCTCACATAAACTCTGGCAAGCTACCTCAGGACTGACCTCTAATGCCCTTGCTATTCTTATCTTTGGTGTCTCATGAGAGAAGACTACTGTCTTGCCAAAGAGTGAAGGAGTTTGGTCATATGGATCTGCTTCTCTAAGGGGTGAAGATGAGACCACCCAAAGTCTGTTGACTTGCGCTTTAATCCAAATTTTAAACAAAATAAACCAGAGCTGCATTCAAGTCAATACTGTCAAAACTGTATTCTTGCTCCCAACGTATTAACTATGAAACAGTGTCAGGCGCAAACCTTGTGAGCTCACATGCAAATTAATGATCACTGAACATATTCCTAACAAAACTCTACGAATGGCATAACCCCTCAACACTTCAGTGTGAAATGAAACAGAATGATTCCAAACTTAAGTTGAAATCAGTGGGAAAACTTTAATTACAAAATAATTCTATTGTGCACATGCAAAACTGGAAATACCCCCTTTGTGCAAATGCTTGCAATGCTAACTCTGAAGCTCCCCATAATCTGGCCTTGTTTTACGCGCATGACCTTCTTTGATCACTCCTCCAACAGATTCCTCTATATACATACACCTCTCACATTCCCACCTCCATAATTTGTCAATTTTCTGCTCTTTCTTCTACTTCCGCCTTACAGATTGCTCTCTCCTCAGCTCAGTTTATGCAATTCCTTGAAGCCAAAATAATTTTACATACACAACCCAATTGTGTATCCTTTTCCTCAGTCTAGAAAGTAATAGGAAGAGGGGAATGCCCAGAAAATAAACAGTGAAGGGGAATTCTGACTAGGATTCTCTAGACAGGGCTGAAGAAAATAAAGGGAGAGAGGGCAGCACTCCCGCTGAGACCAGCTGTGACTGTACCCTAATCACTTCAGAATAAGCATCTTGCATGCTAAAGTTATTCTTTTGCATTCTCTCATCTCGAAGTGTTAACAGCCCCTCCTCCCTTTTATTTTCCTCATAACGTTCCTCTTGAAAAATCTAAAAAATCTCAGTCATGTCTAGGGTAAACTAGAGGTGATTTATTTAATTCTTAAGGCAAAATAACTTAGAGGAACAAACTGCTCTCGGTTACATGACACGACAGGAACACCGACTTAAGTTGAAAAACTGGTGGAAGCCTGTGAGATGCAACATGGCTGGGTCTGGGGATAGCAGCAGCGGTGTGGTCAAGAGGGAGGGAAGAGGGAAGGACTCAGTCCACAGCAGTTTCACCCTCATATTCCTTTCCAGCCTGTGGTTCTATATCAGAACTTACCTTAAAAAAAAAAAAAAAAAGTTGGCCAGGCGCGGTGGCTCACGAGGCCAAGAGATCAAGACCATCCTGGTCAACATGGTGAAACCCCGTCTCTACTAAAAATACAAAAAATTAGCTGGGCATGGTGGTGCGTGCCTGTAATCCCAGCTACTCAGGAGGCTGAGGCAGGAGAATTGCCTGAACCCAGGAGGCGGAGGTTGTGGTGAGCCGAGATCGCGCCATTGCACTCCAGCCTGGGTAACAAGAGCAAAACTCCGTCTCAAAAAAAAAAAAAAAAAAAGAAAAAGAAAAGTTAAAAGCCTAAGGAATTCTTAGTTCTTCCAAAATATATATTATAGACAATATAACAACATTTTGGATTTATCAAGGTGCTATAATAAAAATGTCTCAGTATGATTAGCATAACCTAGGGCAAATCCTAAAATACTTTAAGCAATGGTACAATTAAGCTTTTAAATTTCATTTTATTCATTTAGTTAGATAACATGTTTTGAAGAGCTACTGTATAGGAAAAATTTTGGTGAAAGAGGAAAAAACTGTTTCCAGGTCTTGGCACTGAAAAAAACAGTCTTGGAGCACTAAGGTGAGGTCTAAGAGCTGCCTGAAGTCCGGTGTGGCTGAAAGTTGGGTAGGATCGGTGGGAAGATATGGAGTGAAGATGGGGCTAAGGTGGCAGGAGGTTCAGACGGTGAAGGGCCTTTTGAGAGTGGTGTAATCCCACTGGTGAAAAGTCATGTTGTCAGTGTTGAGGACACACTGCAAGGAGGGGAGGTGAGGCTGGAGGAAGGGAGACCACTTTAGGGGGTCATGGAATAAATGAAGGGCACTGATTCGCTCTAGCTTTCCTACCCATTCTCCACAAACAAACAACCACCAACATATAAGGGGAAAAAAACCACAATGGAAAGCAAGGGTGGATTAAATAAACCTTCTATTTCTTTGGGTTGAATAAAGTTTAATATGCATATCTTGACAATTACAAGCTCTCCAGGGAAATACTTTTTTTTTTTTTTCATTTAGAAAAGCATCCTTTAGTAATTCATTTATGCTTTACTGAAAACCTACTATAATTATTCATGTACTGATTCTAATGTAAATCTTTTGACAAATTAAATTGAATGTATTTTCTAAGTCAACTAATACTACCTAAATTAAAGCTGATCCTATCACGATTTCACTCTCAAATTCCAAAAGCAGTTGATTTGAATTTTCCTTACAATAAACTGTAATGTTTGGGCAACAGAAGATAAAATTTTCAGAGGGCTACAGTGGTTTGAGCAAACTTCCATGACAATCAACACTATGGCCTCCCTCTCAGAAGATGCCTCTGCCAGCAGGCAATACAATGTAGCAGTGTCAGCCTGCACAAAAGGCCTCGCTACATTTATTGAAAATCATAATAATTGTATGGCATAATGAAGTATTTTGTGAATTTAAGCATTTAGAAGTCAGAGAGAATTTAGTGGCTTCTGTATGCAGGGACACCTCAATTGTGCTCTTTTTCTGAAATGACTTGGTCATTTTGTGCCTCAGGTTTATAGTCAAGTAGTTGCTTTTTAGGATACACAAATTGGCTTTAAGTTCACAGTGAGTCACAAATTTTAAATCTTTTATGACAAAGGCAAACTGTAAAATCCAATCAATATTATCAGTTACTGCATCTGTATTTAATCTAGAAAGTCGGATATTTTCAAAACCAAGCTCTTAATAGCTCTTAATTTATCACTAGCATAAGATCCTGAGTTAGCTCTTTCCAACATGTTTTTCTGGTGGCAGCTTACCCCGTGCTAGGTAAAATGGAGCTCAAGCCAGGAGGTGATAAACCAGCCCAATAAGCCTGGCTGTCTAATTCCATCTGACCGTGATGCTTTCAGCCACTGGCATGTTCTTTACTGCCTGGTTCTTTGTTTATGAGGTCACCTCCACCTCCACCAAGCGCACCTGGGGTATCTGCCAAGAGCTCCCCATGTCTTCGGTGGTCTCACTCTTCCTAGGCTATGGAGGCCTGCCCTGCTGCTGTGGCTTAGCATCCTTGTACAAGCTCCCAAGGGTACCAACTAGGCAGCTTCTCCGAATCACTACTTTTGTTAATCAATTTTTTTAAACTACTGCCCAAAGTGTCCCACGTGCTGCTCACAATAAAGGCAGATGTGTGAAAAAAAAGATCTCAGTCTCCCCCACTCCTTCCTTCATTTCTGGACTCCTTGCTTGCTTGTTTTATTTTCAATCTGTAAACTGGGCACCTGTTATAACCAAGGCACTCTGTTAGATGCCAAGAATTAAAAAAAATAAATAAATAAAGGATAAAGGCCCTGCTTTCGGGGAGTTCACAGTCTAGCAGGGGAGACAAACACATATATCAGGCACAGGTTGATGGTGCTGTAAAAATCAGAAAGGACGTAGAGCTTACATTTGGTAACATTCACACTACACACCAACACATAATAGATTATCCATATATCTATTTTAATGGAAATAGCTTGATGTATAAGAACATAAAAAACATGAGCATGTACTGGTAGAGAGAATTATAGGGTGGGCTGGGGCAGAAGAGATCATCCAGAGCAGATGCGAATTCAACACTGTGCAAGGGTCCTCTTACTTCCCGTCATTCCTTTAACGTAGCTTCTCAGGAGAGAGACGTAAAAGTGTCAGAAAGAGGTTATGTGAAAACTGCTGATACCCACAGGGGCACAGATTATTCTCTCTAGAAAAATTTGATGACAATAAGAAGACTGCATTTGTGTTGAAATGCACCCAAAAGTATCAATTAACAAGAGAATAAACACTAAACAAGGAGATTTAAAAAAACCCATTCCTGAATTCATCAAAACAGGAACACTTCTAAAAGCGTGAAAGATGGCAGTATTATAAACAATTTGTTAACAGGCTATAAATGTGTTTTCTTTCATAGTTGGACAAAGTTGTGGAAAAACATAAAGAATCTCACAGACGAATCCTGGGACAGCTCTTAACGGTAGAAAAATCCCATAGGCAAACCATTCTGGAGTTGGAGGAAGAAAAGAGAAAACATAAGGAATACATGGAGAAGAGTGATGAATTCATATGCTTACTAGAACAGGAATGTGAAAGGTAAGGCTGCTTTGGACAAAGCAATGTCCCATTCTGCAACCTGTGGGCTGGCCACCGGACCCGGTGTCAGGGATACAAAGATGAATATGACACAGTCTCTGTTCTCAAAGTTCTCACAGTCTAGGGTGAGGAAAAAGACATGTTTAAAGACATTATCAGTACAATGCATGGATAACCAGATGTGATAAAGCCTGTGGAACGGTAAATGTTGGGCCCCTAACTCTTCAAGGGAGTGCCTTGTAACGGCTGCGAAAAGTAGGAAATAGGAGTCTAGTCCCTAGGCAAACAAGAATGCAAACTATATTCATGACAAAGGGTGAAATAAGTATGTTAGTGCAAAAGTGAGAAAAGAATCTGCATTCTGAGGGAACTCAAGCTTTTCACGTCGCTACAGCACAGGCCATGGCTGTAGGATGAGAAAAGGAAAGGCTTGCTTTGAGCAACTGGACTTTATACTACTGGCCTGAAGGAGCAAATGGGAAATTGTGAAAGGGAAAATGAGATGATCTATTACGCTTTCCTAATAAACGATTAAGGGAACGTGGAGGAACAACTGGAGGAGCTTTAGACTAGGTGGAGGAAACTCACATGGGAGGCAAATATCTAGATGAGAAAGATGAGGGAATGTGTCCCAATGGCCATGAGGTTGGAGAGGAGGGGTGTACGCAGGAGCTACTTATGGTGTTTAGTCAGTATGAAGTAGTGACTGTTGAGACGGGAGAGCAGAGCAAGGGAAACATGGAGTTACTGAGAAGCATTCCTAGCTATTCACCACCATATGTAATATGGGAATGGGGCTCAGCTTTCTGTATTGTAGGATTTTGATTAGGCAGGATGGTTTTACTTGGTGAGTGGTAGGAGATGAGTCCTGGTTTAGACATGCTGAATATGAGGTACCTTGGTATATTTCAGTATCTGGTGAAAATAATAATATATATAAAGTCAATCCATGGTTGGAAATGTAGGTCTGCAAAAGGACGGGCTAGTGATATGTATCTGTAGTAGTGACAGCTGAAACTGTGCGTGTTTGGTGTGGTGAGAAGACAGAATGCTGAAAAGGGAACTCTAGACTACATCAAGGCTTGGCGGTTTTCTGAAAGAAAAAGAGGTCAAAAATGGAAGCTGAAAAAATGGTGGAAGCTCAGAAGAACCAGAAAACAAAGACGGCAATGAAATGAAGCAAGCAAAGACTTTTAAAAAAGAGTGTACAGTCAAATAGCACCAAATAATGCAGAAAAGAGTGAAATGTCCCAGGATTTGGCAATGAGGAAGATTCCGAGGAACTTAACGAGCCATTTCAATAAAGCGGTATGGGCAGAAGCCAAATAGCAATGCTTTGAAAAACTAAACAAGAAATAAGAATGTAGGAGCTTAAAATGTGAACTAGTATTTTGAGAAGCTGAGCTGCAAAAAAGGAGAGTTTGGTTGGTAAATATTTTCTAACTATGTAGGGTAGATTATTTTATTCTACTTTGGCCCTCTATTCTGAACCACTGTGGACAGTATAAGCACTCGTATGAAATTGAAAGGAAAATGAACCCCCTGAAAAGGGTTAATACTGAGAAGACGGAAAGTAACCGATCTTGGCAATGTCAAATTTTTACTGGGCATTTATCTTGCTTTTGTTATTGCCATGTGTACTTTTATGAGTTACAGGGCTAATGATGCTACATTCTAACAGTCATAGAAAAATGCAGAAAAAAATAACTACCTGTGAGCTCTCCTTTCCAAAATACTAGTGATTTCAACGGGTGTATTCAACTACTTCCAATTCATACTTCAGCTAGGTGACCTAAGTTAGTTACTTCAATATCTAGGCCAATAGCAAACTCTCTTTTCTTTTCCATATACGTTACGGGTGACTCTTGCTGGGAGCGCCGGAGAATCCACGGCACTTACATTCACTCAGATTTTTTCCAGGAGGGTTATTTTTCACTACATGGCAGAGAGGGGGCAGAAGAAAGGTCTTATTAACTCGCTGCTCATGAACTCTGAAATATCTGCATGGGCAGATTAAAGGAATACAAGAAATCTGGCACCAAAGGAAGATGGGACTCAGACATTACAATATAAGATTTGTTATTCAATGAGACAATGTTATATTAAACATTATTTTGAACCCCTGTGGTTTGGCGCTAGTGGCCTCGTTTGGCTTCCATACTTACTTGGCACTAACTTGTTGAACACAGACACTTTCTTTCATCTTTCATTATTATGAACATTTACTGACCACGGTCAGAGTGTTGCCGGCCATAGATCAAAGAGGTGCAGGTTGTCCCTGCCCTGGGGGGCTTACCACATTAATAAAAAGGCAAGAAGATACAGATTTATGATGGGAATGTGAAAGGCTATTGGAGGAGAGTTCTGATATTCACTGTGTATCTCTCCTATCTTCTGGAGGAAGGCTGGGGAGGGCTATCCTGAAGTTACTCTGGAATATTGGGAGGCAGATGGCAGAGATTATTTAAACCAAGAGAGCGAGGCGGAGCAACACTGAGAAATGGGAACAAAAGATCAGTGAGAATAAAGGCCATGGGCTGGCGGAAAAGAAAAAGTGTGGAAAAAAATGTAAAGTATATACCACTGAATCAGTGTATCAAGAATAGTATTTCTAAATATACAAAATGAATTTAAGAGAAAGAATGTAAGAGATCTTTATTTAAGCTTCATAGGATATAAAATTTCCTTTATAGGATTTTTTGCCTTGAAGAATAATTAAAGTGAACATGCCATTAACAAGAAGTAGGAAAAAGTGTCTATCACTCCCTGTTTAGCCATTCCAGAGATATGAGAATATTCATCTCTTTCTACATGCCAAGAAACAGCTTCTAGATAAAATTGTGTGAATATGACAATATTAAACCTATTCTTTTTTTTTTTTTTGAGACGGAGTTTCACTCTTGTTACCCAGGCTGGAGTGCAATGGCGTGGTCTCGGCTCACCGCAACCTCCGCCTCCTGGGTTCAAGCAATTCTCCTGCCTCAGCCTCCCGAGTAGCTGGGACTACAGGCGCGCGCCACCATGCCCAGCTAATTTTTTGTATTTTTAGTAGAGACGGGGTTTCACCATGTTAACCAGGATGGTCTCGATCTCTTGACCTCGTGATCCACCCGCCTCGGCCTCCCAAAGTGCTGGGATTATAGGCGTGAGCCACTGCGCCCGGCCTAAACCTATTCTTAACTCACTTGATGTGTAAGTGACTTCCCTTGTTTTGCCTGGCCAACATCACAATTCCTGTATCTTGGTACTGCTAGCCCATTCGCATCCACCCTTCCTGCTTTCCTGCCTCTTGCTGGGAGACTGCAGGCCTCATGAGGCATAACTGATTTCTGCCTGTTTTAAGGCCATGTGCATCAAAGTAGTATTAAAGGAATACCACCTAACAAAACAGGAAGTGGGGGAAACTAATGACCTCAGGTAAGTACACTCACAGGAGGTGCTTACACACAAGAGTGTGAAGTATCTGTAGCGTGCCTTGATGGTACGGTAGCAAAATATACAATCACTGAATCCTTCCAACTTACTGACAGTTCTTTCTCTCAAGCACACAGCTGCCTCGCAGGAAAGTGCAACTAACTTATCCTAAAGGGTCAAAGAATAATGTTTACTTCCTTCCTCAAAGTGATGTAAACCACTCCCAAACTAGCAACCCTCCCAGCAGTGAAACAAAGATATCATAACCCCAGTAAAAGGAAAGGTTGGGTGAAGACAGATACAAAGGACTATCTGGTTGAAACTCTGAAATAAACATGGTAAAGGTTTAGTGCTCATATTCTAAGTTTTGGGTTGTATCTACCTGGAAATAAAACAAAAATTAAGAAATACATGATTGAGGTAGTTAATGAGACTTCAGAGGATGTTATAATGGATTTCAAATTAAGGCTCAATTTCTGTGTTTTCTTTGGAGAATTTGTTTTATGTGGAAAACCCTAAAGGAGACTGATGTCACACATTGAGTTCAGGCCAAAATGTTTGCCAAGTGATGTTGCTGTCGTAATCAGTAAGCAATTGGCTTTCCCACTGAGGGCGGGTGGGGGCAGGGATCAGCTCAGGAAAGCCTGTTCCCAAGCACGTTAATGCAAAGTTTCCTTAGCTGTAATCTGTACGGTTTGGTCTGTCCATATGGTAATGGTCTGTCCACGTTTCATGACAACCTTCTATTCACTGACCAGCGCCAACATGTGGATACGTGTGTCACCAATGACCTGAATTATGTACTTGGCTGAATTACAAGTGGAGTCTATGTAAAAGGTTTTTTACACAAAAGCAATGCCAATAATTTTTGGCCTTTCGGTATGGCTTCACAGGAAAGCCAAAACAAAAGTCACTTTTAGTCAGTGTAATTTTGTAAAATTTTCCCATAAGTGAAATGCCAATTTTGTCTGTACTTTCAAAAAACCTTGCATATTTTTTTTTCTTTTTCAGTTTCAATGGAGAAAAAGCCTCTAAAGAAAAAAAAAGTTGCTTTTTTTTTTGAAACCATGCATTCTTTCTTAGAATACTAAAACAAATTATGTAGGCGAACCATATATGTTACTGCATTTCTGGTCTTGAAATAACAACTCAACAAGGAAACAAATATTGTTATGGCAACTGTATAAAACTGTGGGTTCAACCATGGATTTTGTCAAAGCCTTAAATTACTTTTCATAAAATCTTGGCCAAGTAGGTTAGCACTGACAAATCAGTTTGGTCAATCAGAAGTTCAAATGGTAGCTTCTCAGAAGCCACAAAGAAAGGATTCAAGGTAGAACTAATCTCTTTCCTTTCTGTCCAAGTTTGACTAGATAGAATGTGGTGCAGAGGCCATAGGGCCCTTTGGAGGAAAGTCACCAGGGGTCCAGCTTCAGGTAATTGTTGCCTTGACCACACCCTGGGGAAGTTGTTTGTCGTTAAGTTTTAATGAAGAACAAACCACTTCCAGCTCTCCTTTTGGCTGAAACTATAAACAAGTATTTTCACCATCAATCCTTTTCTATTATGACAGGTCTATTTTTCCA